GAGCTAGGACTAACATAGGATTGAGTGACCCAATTTTCCAAGCTTCAAAAATGTACAATAATGTCCCTGAAAATATAAGAAGTAAGTACAAATAATTATAGAAAATTTGTTAAATTAGTTAAACTATATTTAGGAATTGATTAGATATTATGATATTATCCAGCATTGTTATATACCTATTCAAAATTTATTTAACCTCGAGGCCAGAGCTCAAAGCACTGATTAGAGGTAATTGTTATTATCAATGTAAAAAACTATTGTTGTTGAAAATAAATATATATTTCAAAAAAAAAAACATCAAAAAATTTGCAAAAATATGGCGGCAGGGGCGTGGCTAACTTCTATATTCATATTCAAAATTTGCAAGAATATGGTGGCGGTACCGAATTTCTATTTGAAAAGGTTAAGTCACTGTAGGTGGGCCGGGGCCATTGGAAAGGGTTGAAAAGGAAACAACCAATCAAATACCTTGACGATGCATAAACCCCGGAAAGGGGCGGGGCTCAACTAACCAATTAAATGCCCTGCTGATATCACTCGCATCTGATTGGAAAGGGGCGGGGGCTTATATCCAACCTATCAAAATGCTTTGTTGATATATCCTTGCGTTTGATAACGAGTCAGCCACAGTGTTGCCAGTTTGACGGAATTATTACCTTTTTGCCTTTTTGAGGAAATTTTCTATTTTCGTTCGCAAAGGGTAGAAGCCTAATAAACATTTTTGTTTTTATAATATTTACCGTAAATGTTATATCACCTTCTTTATATAACTTAAGGTTTTATATCCATTTACCGAAATATTTCTGTTACTCCTATAAAACCTTTAAAGAGCTTAAATTAAGCGTTTATAAAGGGTTCGAAAACCTGTGTTTAGTAACAGTATATAACTTTAATTTATGTAACCATTGGTAACGGAAATATTGTGGTAACCACTATATAACTTTTGTCAATTCTGTCATCATTATAAATACATATTTTTTCTCTCTCAAATACATTGCTTTAAATGGTCTCCTACTATTCTATTCCCACAATTCTATTTCAAGATGTCTGTTACTAAAAAAAAAAACAAATATGGAGTCCAAATATTAATAATATTTACCTATTAGAAAACGATGGTACTTTGTTATAACTTTACAGCATTGGTGGACTCAAAATATAGTGGGGAAACTTTTTCTACTGCAAAAGTAGAACCGGTACTTCGAAAAAACGCAGGGGCCCTTGAAATATTCAGTTCTTATTAATTTCAAATCAATTTTCTCACAAAATATATCTACACATATAAATATTAATTAAAACGAGATTTAAGAAGAAATTAATGTAATTTCCGTTTTGCATATGTCAGAATTAAACGATTATTGTATATTTTCCATCAAAATTAGCTAAACCTAGTGTTTTTACAAAACATCTTTTTTATTATTATGATTTTGGGTAGAAAAATATGGCGGATCAGTTTAGTAACAATATAAACTCTGGAAACTATAATATCACCTAAGGTTATATTCCATAACTATTATTAACATTATATATTTAACTTTTAACCAGATGCCGGCAGAGCCGGTATTAACAATTTTGTTCTCAAAATAGTGTTGCTATAATCATCATGTTTATCAGTTCCCTCAAGTAATTTATTTTCTTGTCTAGGAACTTGTGTATAGTGTGCTCGTGGAAGATACTGAAGAGGGCACTGAATTTGAGATTTTATTAAAGTTTTTTGGAATTTTTCGGCGAAATGATGTGCTGAACTTCATTTTTTTTAAAGCATTATGCACAGATTTCTTATAACAATAATAAACAACAACAGACAGCTGATTATTCTCATATGTCAAATTAGGTAGTTTCGTTTTACTAAAGGTTTTATAAAAGAAATTATCGTTAGGTACCAAAAGTTTTATAACATATACTGCAAACACTACTAGTTTCCAGGTTTTATAAAGGTGATTGACAACACTTCTATATAACTAGGGGTATTCTAGTTATATAAATGAGGTTACGGTAACCTTTATAAAAATTTCTTATAAATACTTTAGTAACGTGTATAGTTTTATAAAATGGTGATGGAAATAGTTACATCACCTTATTATATACCTACCTGTAAGTTATAGTAAACTTATAAATACTTTATAAAACTATGTTACCATAGGTTGCAGATTATAAAACTTGGAAACCTTCTTATATACCTTTGTTACTATTATATACCCATTATATAACTTGACGTTACTATAAGTTGCGAAAAATGTTTATTGGGAGCGGAAAGCGGAATTTTTAAAGTCTGTTTTTTTTTAAAGATAAAAGTCAAAATGACATTTTGTTGGCAAAATAATGTTAAATTGTCGATGCTTTCACATTTTTTATGTAGGGAAGGCTTGTGTTGCCAATTTTCATATTCAATGGAAAATTGGTAATTTTAGGTTTCTAGCACACCATATACAATAGGTATACAGGGTGGGCCATTGAACTTAAGACATTATTGAATTTTTTTTTTTTTCAAAAACGCGCCATTTTCGAGATATTGAAATGTCTCAATTTAAATGGACCACCCTGTATAAGGGTACAACATCCCATTCCCGACTATAAGTGAAGGCGCAATAATTGTTTTTTTCCACTACCGCGAGTAAAGTACTTACGTTACGCACCTTTCAGAAGACATAAAATGTCACGCACCAGTGCGTAAAGTAGTTTTTTACTACTAACCTGAGAAGTAGGTACATTATTCTATCAATTTTTCTGGGAAAAAATTGAATTTCTCTCCCTGAAAATACATAATGAAAAAATACCTAGATCAATAATGAAAATGACGTCATGACGCAAGGATATTGTCATAACGTAATAGGTTTTCTATTGGTTTAATTTCAGTGTCAAACTGTAAATTTTAAAAAAAGCAGGTTGCTGCATGTACATTATAGGAAATTACCGTAAGCTGTTGATAGAGGGTAGCACTTTCGACAAGAGAAAATAATTTGAGCACAGGTTTCAAACCTATTTTTTATTTTCTACTAGCAGTAGTAAAAAAAATTCTATATATCCCTCGGTAGAGAAAGTCATTATATACCTTAAAGCGCTCGGTATATAATGACCAACTTCTCTACCTAGGTATATATAAAGGTCTATATAATTTACTATCTCTCGGTTTATCTTCAATAGTTATAGGGAAAAACGCAAAAATCTCTTCCTAAGTATCATGTTATTTTTTTTTTTAATAATAATAATAGGTCAAAACAACTGGATTTATTATAATATTTCACCTTGTAAATTATTGAATGACATTTGAACAATAAATTGTTTATAAACAATTTTCTTTAAAGCTTAAATAATATAATTTTTCTTTCTTCCACATGAGACCTTGGGGGTTTTTATGTTTTTCCCTATAACATAACTATTGAGGATAAACATATCAAACCACATATCGTTGAAATCAGGTTGAAGGGGACTATCAAATAAGCGTAGGTACAATATACATGGTGTTGCATTTAAAATATTATAACTTTGCACTGCTACACTTTTTTGACGCACCCTGTATGCTGGAAACTAACTTAGTTAAAAACTTTTCACAATTGCCTGAAACTTTAGTATTTGACACTTTTGTCAAAAACGTCAAATGAAAAAGTTGAAAGGGGGTGCAATTATAATAGATCACCCTGTACAGTCAAAAAAAAAACAGAAAATGAACAAATAAAACTAAAAAGTTGACAAAGAAGCTAAAAAAATAGGCAGAAAAGCAGTTCCCATTTTATTTCTATCCCTTTCTAACCCATTGAATTTTGTATCCCATTTCTCTTTATTCCAAATTCCAAGCATTTGATTGGTCAAATACAAGACCACTTAAGCCCGAGAATAATCAAAACTCGTATGTCCCTTTATTTATCCTACTTTATATTTGTCTCTTTCTCAATCATTGAATTCTGTATACGTTGGTATCCTATACTCTGTTATACCCAAGGTCTTGTTTTGCCATTGACACAAATAGCTAAAAGTTGTGTTTTAATATTAATTTTTTATTATAAAAATTGAATTTTGCCTGTCACATGTCATTTCTTTTCATTACAAGCATTTGATTGGCCAGATACAAAACTACTCAAGTGCCGGAAATAATCAAAATTCGTGTCATTAATTTTATTTTACTTTATATTTGTCTCTTTCTTAATCATTGAATTCTTTATACGTTTATCTCTTTTTGTGTTATACCTATCCAAACTCTTGATTTGTCAGACATAACATAAATAGCCAACATTTTTATCTCTGTTCCTTTCTTACCCATTGAATTTAGCATTCCATTCCTCTTCATTTCAGGCAAAAAAGGGAAAAAGAAATCATAAAAAGGTCTACAAAAGTCTAACAAAAAAAAATAGGGAAAAAAAGCAAAAACAAAAAATAAACTGAAGATAAATAGATGATGAAAAAAAAAGAAAAAAAAAGGACAAGAAAGTAAAGAACAAATCGGACGAAAAAGTTTACAAAAATTATATGGAGGAAAAAAAAAATACAAGAAGAGATAAGTTGAGGAAAAAAAACTCGAAGAAAAGCCCAAGAAAAACTAGTAAAAAAGCTAAAAAAAAAGAGAAGAAAGAACTTTTTTACAATGGCATGAGTCTCTTTCAAACCTGTCACTGTCAAAATATCTAAATAAGTTCAAATTTAAGCCTCCTTTGTGAGCTCTAAAAAACCCACTAGATTTTGTCATCTTTTTATAGAAATTTTTAATAATAAAATTGTTTCTATAATCTAAATAGAACAACGAGGGCTTATCATAAAGCCGGGGCACTTAAAATTTCATCCGATGATTGCTTATAATGATTTTAGCCGAGATTAAATAGAATAATGATTTATTTTGACTGAACTTTATATCTGGGACATCAAAAAAATGTTTATATTTTTTATTGGGTGTTTGTTATTTTTATGTGTCCTTCGTAGGTGATAATTACTTTTTCTATCAACATATAGTGTCCATTTTTTTTTCAAAATCCCTAATGAGTTGAAAAAATGAAATAATTTGCTTCAAATACCTGATTTCCAAACACTCCGATGCTACAAGCCGAAGAAACTTGATCGGGCCCGAACCAAACGGCCGACAATCTGGCAGGTACCGACAAGACGAAAACCTGAGACAAAGCGACTAGACATTGACCGGCAAAACCGACCAAAAACCGATCTGGATCAACTGAAGCTACTTTAACCCAGGCTCCAAGACATGTGCCTAAAATCCCTATTGTTACTGCAAGACGAAGTCCCTAAAAAAAAAATCATAATTTATTTATTTTTTATCAATCTGAAATTTTTACCAATTTCTCCAACAAATAACTTCCAGGAAATATAAACGGAATATACAAAATCATGTAAACCAACGACGTCCAGTTGACCCACTCATTGGTCACTCCGTAATACTCTTTTATCACTGGACTAATAATCGAATACTGGATCCATTGCAAGGAATTTGAAGCCGAAAAAAAAACAAAAAGTACCAAAATGAACCATCTGATTTTGTAGACTTTTGGTTTCTGGATGTCTGGAAGAATGCCGTTGCTATTGCATTTCGATTCCAGCTCCTGGGTGGAGGAAGAGTTCATTGTGTTATAATTGAATTGGGTACCTGAAAAAAAAAAAAGGAATTCATGTGTTAATGTAAAAAGAAATGTATTTTCCAGGCTTGGTTAATAAATCCTGAAAGTTTGAAATCGATCTGATACTCTGAAGTGTATTTTTCAGGATTTTTCAAAGATGATTTAACGTGAATTTTCCAACTTTTTCTGGTATTAAACTGGAAAAAAAACTCATAATTTTGTTTCTAAGCTTCAGATTGACTTTAAATTTGCCTTATTTGATGAAAACACCCTAATTGATAGATTCTGAAAATTTCAAGTCGATCTGATACTTTGAAGTATTTTTCAGGATTTTTCAAAGTTGATTTAACATGAATTTTATAACTTTTTCTGGTATTAAGTTGAAAAAAACCTCATAATTTTATTTCTAAGCTTCAGATTGACTTCAGATTTGCCTTGTTTGATGAAAATATCCTAATTAATAAGTCCTGAAAATTTCAAGTCAATCTGATACTCTGAAGTATTTTTCAGGATTTTTCAAATGTGTTTCAACGTGAATTTTCCAACTTTTTCTGGTATTAAGTTGGAAAAAAACTCATAATTTTATTTCTGAGCTTCAGATTGTCTTCAAATTTGTCTTGTTTGATGAAAACATCCTAATTAATAAATCCTAAAAATTTCAATTCGATCAGAAACTCCGAAATATTTTTCAGAATTTTTCAAATGAGTTTTAACGTGAATTTTTCATTTTTTCCTGGTATTAAGTTGGAGAAAACCTCATAATTTTATTTTTGAGCTTCAGATTGACTTCAAATTTGCCTTGTTTGATGAAAATATCCTAATTAATAAGTCCTGAAAATTTCAAGTCGATCTGATACTCCGAAGTATTTTTCAGGATTTTTGAAATGTGTTTCAACGTGAATTTTCCAACTTTTTCTGGTATTAAGTTGGAAAAAAACCTCATAATTTTATTTCTGAGCTTCAAATTGACTTCAAATTTGCTTTGTTTGATGAAAACATCCTAATTAATAAATCCTGGAAATTTGAAGTTGATCAAAAACTCCAAAGTATTTTTCAGAATTTTTCAAATGTGTTTCAAGGTGAATTTTGCAACTTTTTTTGGTATTTTTAATTTTTAAGTTTATAAAAAATTTCATAATTCTATTTCTGAGGCTCAGATTAACTTCAGATTGCTTGTGCTTGAAGGAAAGACTTTAATTATAAATTCCTGGAAGTTTCAATTTCCTCAGATTCCTGGAAGTATTTTTGAATAAATTCCAAGGTTGATTTGTTAAGAATTTTACAAGGATTTTAAAAAAAAATCATTCAAAATAGGAATGTATAACAAAGTAGAAGACAAAGACATAAAGAATTCAATGATTGAGAAAGAGACAAATATAAAGTAAGATAAAAAAAAGTGAGATGAATTTTGATTATTTTCGGCGCTTGAGGGTAAAAATTCAAGAGCCAGGTATAGACAAAAAATGAGAAATAATGAAAAGAAAATACAAGGCAAACTGAGATAAAATCATTAGACAAAGAAGATAATAAAAATTCAAAAGTCAGAAAATTAAAGAAGAATTGAAAAAAATTAAAAAGAAAACAGAGAGACTCAAGATAAAAATATTAAAAAATAAATTAAGAAAAAAAACAAAAATTCACAATAATAATAAGAAAAATAAAAAAAAAAAAATGACACAAAATCTTGACTCACTTTACGATCCATTCACAAATCAATGAATCTCCACAAAACACTATAGTACCAATTCACAAAAATCCTCTTTTTATTGCCAAAAAGAATTGTCAAGCAATAAATTTATTAGGTAGTACCGATAAGATTCGATTTTATATAGTCTACCGCGAAATAAAGCAAATTTAGTACTGAGGCTATTTGTTGCTAATCTACTATAAAAATATTGAAAAACCTAATTAGTACTACCTTAAGGATAAAATAGTTCGACACTTTTTATCATTACATTATTCATTGACGTATGTGATAATTTTTTGATGAACACAATAATCAAACTGACTGAAAAATTCAAACTAAAGCCGGTTTTTAACAGTTCAATTCTTCTATAGCAAAATATTTTTGGCCTTAAGGTTAATAAAATTTCGCATATAATTAAGATCAACTTTTTCTATTATGGAATAATAATTTGTAACTGTACTGTAATAATACATTTTTAATTAATTTCCAACTAAAATATAAAGTTCTTATGATAAATTTCCATTTAATTTATCTGAGTGACTGAGTAACAAGAATAAGAAGATTTTTTGAAAAAAAAATTACTAAAATTATTAAAACATAAACAAAGTTATTGAATTAATTAAAAAATGTCAATAAAATGTTTATTGGTATCTAATCTTAGTCATAAGTTCGATCACCCACAATTTTTTTATTTATTTATAATAACAGGCATGTTTTTTATTTGTTGCTAATTCTATAAACAAATTTTTTAGCAACAAAATAAAGTCAAAGAAGATGATAAAAGTATGAATTATGTTGATTAAAAATATAGAATTTTGAAGCCACCCATCGATTTTGAAACAAATTTATTATTAAAATAAGTAATGTAAATAGTTGTTCAGGTACCTTTTGTTAATAATGCCATTTTCGCCCAAAAAAATTATTCACTAATTAAAAAATAACAATATTTTCTATAAGTAACAATACAATAATTACTATTTTATCAATACCCAATATAACTATATAGAAAATCGCAAAATATTTTTGTCTCATTTTATAGCAAACATAAAACAAAGATAGAAAAATAAATTATTTGTTGTTAAATTTATCAACAAAAGCATTCCATTGTCTCTTATCAAATTATATATTTTATTGGTTTGCGCATAAATTATTGATAAATTGCTTTTTAGTTATGAATAAACGAAAAATGTTATTGAAAATTATACACAGTGGTTAAGAAAAATTCATTTTTCACACCTTGTTATGTATAAAATAGCAAAAAAACTGTCATATTTTTTCAAAAATTGAAATAACTTTACTAAATTGGACAAATTTTTGAATTTTCAGCTACGATAGTATAAAAATTATACAGCGGAACATACGATGATGCGTTTCGAAGTTATCATTTGGGAAAACCCTCGTGGGACACCCTGTATATTGTACGTTACTTCACCTGTCAAAAAATTAAATTTGACAGGTAGATGTTCGATGAGCTTGTGAAAAAATGGATTATTTTCTATCAAATATATTGTAAATTTGGAAAAAAAAAATTAATTTTTTGTTTTTTGAATTTGGCAATTTTTGACAGCTGTCAAAGTGATTTTCAGTAGTTGAATGTCCAATGAACTTGTGTGAAAATTGACTCCTGTCAAATATTATTATTTTGACAGTGAGAAGCGATAAAATTTCAAAATTTCTAATTTTTTGCTTTTTGAATTTGGCAATTTTTGACAGCTGTCAAAGTGATTTTCAACAGTTGAATGTCCAATGAACTTGTATAAAAATTGACTTTTGTCAAATATCATTAATTTAAAAGTGAGAAGCGATAAAATATCAAAATTTATAATTTTTTGTCTTTTGAATTTGGCAATTTTTGACAGCTGTCACAGTGATTTTCAATAATTGAATATCCAATGAGCTCGGATGAAAATTGACTACGATTGAGGCGATTTAATAATTATAAAACATCAAAATTTCTAATTTTTTGTCTCTAGAATTTGGTACTTTTTGACAGCTGTCAAAGTGGTTTTTAATAGTTAAATGTTCAATGAATTTGTGTAAAAATTGACATTTGTCAAATATTATTATATTATAACAGTGATAAGCGATTTATTATCTATAAAACATCAAAATTTCTAATTTTTTGTCTCTTGAATTTGGACATTTTTGACAACTGTCAAAGTTGTTTTTGATAGTTGAATGTACAATGAACTTGTGTAAAAATTGACTTGTCAAATATTATTATTTTGACAGTGAGAGGCGATTCAATATCTATAAATCATCAAAATTTCTGATTTTTTGTCTCTTGAATTTGGAAATTTTTGACAACTGTCAAAGTGGTTTTCAATAGTTGAATGTCCAATGAACTTGCGAAAAAATTGAATAATGTCAAATATTATTATTTTGACAGTGAGAAGCCAATAACACATCAAACTTTCTAATTTTTTGCTTCTTGAATTCGGAAATTATTGACAGCTGTCAAAGTTGTCTTTGATAACTGACTGTCCAAATGAACTTGTGAGAAAATTGACTTTTGTCAAATATTATCATTTTGACAGTAAGAGGCGATTTAATATCTATAAAACATCAAAATTTCTTATTTTTTGTCTCTTGAATTTAGCAATTTTTGACAGCTATCAAAGTAATTTTCAATATTTAAATATCCAATGAACTTGTGAAAAAATTGACTTTTGTCAAATATTATTATTTTGACAATGAGAGGCGATTTAATATTTATAAAACATCAAAATTTCTAATATTCTGTCTCTTGAATGTGGTATTTTTTGACAGCTGTCAAAGTGGTTTTCAATAGTTGAATGTCTAATGAACTTGTGAAAAAATTAACTTCTAATTTTTTGCCTCTTGAATTTGGAAATTGTTGTCAACTGTCAAAGTTGTTTTGAAATAATTGAATATCCAATGAGTTCGTATAGAAATTGACTTTTGTCAAATATCATTATTTTGACAGTGAGAAGCGATTTAAATTTATAAAACATCAAAATTTCTAATATTTGTCTTTTGAATTTGGTATTTTTTGACAGCTGTCAAAGTGATTTTTAATAGTTAAATGTCCAATGAACTTGTGTAAAAATTGACTTTTGTCAAATATTATTATTTTGACAGTGAGAAGCGATAAAACATCAAAATTTCAATTTTTTTTTCGCTTGAATTTGATAACTTTTGACAGCTGTCATAATTATTTTTGATAATTGAATATCCAATAAACTTGTGAAAAAATTGACTTTTGTTAAATATTATTAATTTGACAGTGGAAGGCGATTTAATATCCATGAAACATTAAGATTTCTAATTTTTTGTCTCTCGAATTTGGAAATTATTGACAGCTTTCAAAGTGGTTTTCAA